TAGAAAAACGTTCCCCCCAGTAAACTTTGCATCTGAGAAGAAAAATAAAAAAAACAAAGATCTCACAAATCTTCTCTACTCTACATTTTCCATTTCACTCTCATCACTGCTGCTGCTGCTGCTGCTATCACTATCACTACTACTACTACTACTACTGCTGCTGCTGGAAGGATTCTCAAACCGTTCTGGGTGTTCCTCCACTTCGTCACTACGAAAACATATAAGGCAATGTAAATTTCCACCACCAGATTTCTTTTTAGTTTTTTTCGTGCCTGTATTCCCCGTTGGTTCACTCTCCTCCACACGATCAACTGTTGAAGGAGAAATTTCTGAAGAAGTTCCCAAAACTGGAGCCTTTTCTCCTGAGACTATTGGTGATGATGACTGTTCCAATACCCCTGGAGTCCCTTCTTTTTCTTCTTGTTCTTGTTGTTGTTCTTGATCGGTTAACTTTTTATTACTGAGTTCATTCTCCTTTACAAGAGTGTTTCTCTTACTCTTTGAAATACGTGTTTGAATACCCAATTCTGGACGTCGAATGTTAAAAAAATTCGGAGAGCGGCACATGAGATCCTTCACAATCTCACTCCACTTCCTTGCATACATCGCCTCATGTCGACCACGACTTACTTCTCCAATAAAAACAGTAGTTTCTGTATTTTCCACGGGTACATCCTTTGCATAAAAGTCCGTCTGTGCTAATGGAATCTCTTGATAACCTATAGGAACCATATAGTGATTATGACAATGATAAATCACTGCGGCATTTGGATTACGCAAGAGTTCCTTTAACTCCCGCAGGGCCTCTTCTGAGGTACAAGTTGTACATCCTTTTCCCTGTGGTTTGTAGAATACATACGCCCGTCCACGTACACCAAAGTGTCGATTAAGTGCGTGAAACCATCGTAGAAGAGTTCCATTGCCTGTAAAGGGTCCCCATGAGATACTATCAAAGGGTGGTTCAAAGCCTAATATAGACATCACTTCCTCTTGTGAAATAGGTGGACGATTATGTATTCCTGTGGTGGATTCTCCAATGCGGGTGTAGAGATAATTCCAAATGGAGGTAAGAGAGGAGACACCACAGCTGCGTGGATATTGTTTCGTTACCGCGAGTAAACGAGGAATGCGCAAACAGAGACGCTGTTCGAGATCTTCACGGGTGGTGGGGAGTTGTGTTGGGATTAAACACTGACGATCCGCCATCGCATCTACTCTCACTATAGGTAATGGCCGACGACTATTCATTCCTTCAGACTTCACAATACCTTCCTTTTCCCCTTCCTGCTGTTGTGCATTTACTCCTACCGTTTCGTTTTCTTCTTTTTGTTGTTGTTGTTGTTGTTGTTGAATGAGACGTTTGAGTCTACTGGAGATAATGGCATCACGTTCCTTCTTGGTGGTTTTACGCCGTATCTTTGGGAGTGAGAAGTCAATTCCCCACGCCTCACCTCCACGTTGTGGCCTTTGTGGTATTGTATCTACATTAGTTGAGTTAATCCCCTCTTCTGTTACATTTACTGTTTTCGTTGATGTTGTTGTTGTTATTGTTATTGTTGGTTCGGGGGTGTTGTTTTTTTTAGCCGAGTTGTTATCGGCAGGAGTCTCCATTTAAACTCCTTGCCTTTCTTTTTTTTTTTTTTTTTTTTTTTTTTTTTTTTCTTTTTTATATATATATATATATATATATATATATATATATATAAACTTAACCTATGAGTCTAAAGAGGTTCCAGTCAAATCCCCACGTCTTGTAAAATAAAAGGGGGGTTTTAATGAGTACGACTGTCAATAATGGCAAGTCCTTCTCTCTCTCTCTCTCTCTCTCTCTATATATATATATATATATATATATATACAAACGAATAGAATTTAGAAAGAAAAAAGAAATTAATGAAGTTATAAAAACAAAAATAAAAAAAAACATAGAATATGGAAAAGGATGCATGAAAAAAAAAAAAACAGAAAGATCATCATGAAGGTGTTCAACCAAATAAAAATAAATAAAAAAGATATTTAGAAAAAAAAAAAAAACATTCGCTTGTAACTAAAGTGACAAGTAATGCAAAAGGAGATAAAATGAAAACACAAGAGAGTGAGAGATGGTGTTTCATCAATAGATATAAGGAAAATAAGAGTAATGATCCAATAAGAAGAAAAAAAAAAAAAAGAGAGACTGTTGAATAGTAGTAGTTCAATAGATTGTTTCTTTTCTCTCCATCCATTCATTCAGTTCCAGATCATTTCATGAAGTAGGTCAAATAGAAACTAAACCTTATACATAGATGTTTGTATGTATAGATAGAGAAACAGATAATAAGAGAAAGAGAGGAACATCCCAGACCTTCAAATAAAAATTAAAAATTAAAATACAAATAATTGAAACATAAATGATCCTTCTCATATTACCACCATCTCATTAATTTTCTTCGTTGTTTCCTTTCTTTCTACCTCTATCTATATATATATCTCTCTTTCTCCATTTTTCTTCCGTTTTCACCCTTTTTCACAAAGGTGTTTTATTATTTACTTCTCTTTTGTTATTCTCTTTCCCTCCATGTAGTTCGCTAAAATAAATGTAAATAGATCTTCTTGTTTTTTTTTCAGTTCCCACAAACACAGTACTTTCTTTCTTCCTCTTTCTCTCTTTCCATCTCTTTCTCTTTTATTCACTCACTCTTTCCCTCTGCCTTTACTTTCTTTTCTTTGTTTCCATCCTTCTTCTTATCAAAGCACACACACACACACACACCTCCTCTCCATCATACATACACACACACAAGGAGACACACATACAGACCAACTAACCATATATATATATATATATATATATATATATATATAAAGGTTCTATGCTTGCAATTGCTGTCTTTTTTTTTTTTTTTTTAATTTCCTAGAATAAACTAAAGTGGACAATTGCTAACCTTCACAGATGTTGGGCGTTGCTGTTCAATATCTTCCATAAGCACGGCGTAGTCCTCCGCACTCATTGTGGCACGCCAATATGCCTTGTGAATAGATTGACGAAAAAGTGCATACTTGTGATCACACCAGTATAAAGCCCGTAGTTTCCAAACATCTGGAGTCCATATAACCATAATACCAGCAGCACAGAGAACAGGAACCCAACGACGTTGAATAAGTGGCACCCATCCAGGATGACGTTGTTTAAATAACCAACTGTTCATCTTTATTTGTTGTTGTTGTTGTTGTTTCTGCATGTGCAATTTAGATCCATTGGGAGTATCCTTCACAGCGGATGTACGTTCCACCCGTACATGATCACGCGCCCCAGCAGCACTAGCAGGCATTGTACTCGTTGCTGTATTCATATTCATACTATCACTCTCTGTGTTTCTATTATTATTATTATTATTATTATTATTATTATTATTATTATTATTATTATTATTATTTCCATTCTCTGTGGATATGTTTACAGTGTGATTCCCTATCGGTGTATGAGGTGTACTAGCCACAACTGTGGTGGAATCCATTGCCCATCGTTTTCCAAAGAATGGAATCTTCACCCACCAACTCTTCGCATATGCCTCCATTGCCTGTGCGTTAGCGATATCATATGCCATGATCTCCTGTTGTATTTCTCCTATGAATGCCTCTGCTGCTTGCAGTGAGGCCGCATCGCTGCTCCCCGGCACCGGCCCACTCTTTGGGAGACCAAGAATGAAATTGCGGGTTGTGTCACTCGCCGCTGACTCAAGTCCAGCATGTGAAGATGGAGAAAAGGAAGAAGAGGAGGAAGAGGAAGAAGAAGAGGAACCACCGCCATGATGGCCAGTTGAAGTGCTTGTCATGATTGATCAGCTAAAATAAAAAAAAAGGAATAGGTAAGAATCCTGAAATAACTCTCACTAAGCTGAGAGGATATATATATATATATATATATATATATATATTCTTCTATGTGTGTCAGAAACCTTCAAGACACCTAGAAGTTTGTGTGGAAAGAATAAAAAGAAAAAGAGAGACATATGAATGAAGAAGTTCATACAAGAAAGATGTATATCGTATTTTCCCATAAAATAATAAATAATAATAATAATAATAAACATTTTATTATCTTCTTTAAATTGGTCCTTCAGTGAACCAGGGGAATCACACCTCCACACCAACACCACTATCAATACCAATTAGATCGCTGGTTTAGATATTATGATGAACCAAGTTGAGGTTATGTATACACTGTGATTATCACTGCAGACGCAAAGGCGGTAATAAGAAGAAAAAAAAAAATAAAAAGAAAAAAAAAGCAAGAATACACTTCCCGACTTCGTTTAACTCTCATTAAAACAAAAGAGAGAGAAAGAGAGAGAGAGAGAGAGAGAGAGAGAAAGTAGTATAGAAAACAGTCAATATCTCAACCCCACACATTCACGCTGCGTCTAGGCAAGATTCTCAAATTAACACACCATCCCCTGAACTATTAGAGTAGATATGATCGAATCCCTTCTCCCACAAATCATCGGAAGAATCGCATCAATTGAGTCAAATTATTAAAAGAAACAAAAAAAAAAAAAACAAATGACAGTTTTTATGGTCCTTTACTCATTTGCTTTTCTTTTTTCTTTTCCTTTTTTTTTCTTTTCTCGTCTTCTTTTGATTTGCAAACACAACCATTTACTCTTCTTCTCATGAACCTCAACGTATTGGACGGACCTCAACAGCGTGTTGACCAGCCAACAACTCTGTGAGAATAATAGCACTCGCTGCACTGACATTCAACGACACCTCCTGTGGTTTTAATATCGCTGAATCAAATATTTCCTTATCTTTATCCTTATCCTTATCATCTTTACTAGTTGTAGTCCTCTGTTGTTGTTGTTTATTCCTTAGAGAAGGGATATGTACACTATGTGTACACAATCGCACCACCTCTGTTGGTAATCCTTTATCTTCATTACCAAGTAGTACTAGACGACGTCGGGGATGATATTGTTGTTCTTCTTCTTTTTTCTTCTTCTTCTTTTCATTATCTTCCTTCTCCTCCTTATTTACTCGTTGTTGTTGTTGTTGTTGTTGTTGTTTATCTTCTTCTTCCCGTTTCCTTGTATTTTCATGCACAGCTGTTCCCCATGGTGTTGCCACGGCTGCATACACCTCCAGCTTCTGTTTATTCTCTCTTACTTTATGTTGGGCTATTGTATTTTCAAGGAATGTCACTGTAGGGACCACACTGCGATAAATATTCATATGTTCCATTAATCCTGCACTCGCCCTTGACACTGCTGGAGTACATCCCGCACTATCACAACTCAACACAACGCGTTGTACACCCAAGAAGAAAGCGGATCGCATTATCGCCCCTACATTACCAGGATCTATAATGTGATCAAGGAAAAGCACAACATCATGATAAATGTGTTCCTTTTCATTTCTCTTGTTATCATCACTATTAATATTATTATTGTTTCTGGTATCCCATGGACATGCAACTACCTCTTTGGGTGTAAAACTCGATACTTCCAGTACGACATTTTGATTCCGTCGTTCTCCACAGAGTTGCACCAATTCTCGTCTTTCCACCGGCTGCACATCTATGTGCATAGCACGTGCAAGTTTTACAATTCGTCGTAGATTTAAATACTGCGGTGGTACCCAAACAGCATCATCATCATCATTTTCATCATTATTATTATTATTATTATTATTATTATTATTATTATTATTATCATCATAATAACTAGCACGTCTATTCTCATTCTCATTCTTTCCTTCCATCATCTTCTTCTTCATCCTCATCGGTGTCTTCTCACTATGGCTGATCCCAGTGTGATGACGCTCATCATTATCATTATCATCATTATTATTTTGTTTATTCTCTACACTACTCTGTGCAAGACGAAAGTCCCGCACAAACAAACGGTGCAGTTGACGCCGATGTGGATGTTGGCGCCGTGTGGAAAGATAAAAAGAACGGAGTGTGTGGAGAACACTGTGTGTACCGCAGAGACGATCCACATGCGGCGGTGGGGGTTTTGGAATGGCACTCCAGCGGTGACCAGAGGACTTATTCACAGCATGAAGCCGACGACTCCATTGATGCATACAATAAGAATACAGAAAAAAAAAAGTCTCTTCTTTTTATTTTTTTTTTTATTTTTTGTAAAATGTTTGCGTTTCGTTATTTATAAAAGAAAAAAAAGAAAAAAAAAGAGTCGACAAAAGCAACAAAAAAGAAAAAGAGAAAAGGGAAAAGAAAGTAAAAGAGAAAAAAACAATAATAATAATGAGTCATCACATTAACAAATAAAATACATCTCTTGTTCCCCCATTTAAACCGCAACACTGATTTTGTGAGAAACCGGAGAAAAAAAAAAAGAAAAAAGTAAAAAACTAGCGAAAGATAGAAACCTTCTTTCAACAGTTGCAGTTGACCAGGTACAATCTTTCTTTCCTTATTATACCGGTTTATCGGTTCCACTTGCTAGCGTTTTTTTTTTTTTTTTCGTTTTCTTTTTGAATTAATTTGCTCTTCCTCGCTTCCTGAGAACTGCCTTCCATCTCAACTCCATTTCTTTCTTTTTTTTTTGTTTTTCTTCTTCTTCTTCTTCTTCGTTGTGCATGTTCCTTTCCTTCTTTGGACTTTCTCCTTCTTCTTCTTCTTCCGCCCATCAATAATAATATCCCCTCCCTCCTTCTTTAATTTCTTCTCTCCTCCCCACTTCTTTTTTTTTTCTTTCTTTTCATTCTCTGTCAGTGCAGGGAAAGAAGTAGCGGTGTTACGATGGCATTTTTTTTTTAATGTTTTTTTTTCAATAATTAAAAAAAAAAAAAAAACCCATGTATGTATGTATGTATGTATGTATGTATGTATGTATATGTATATATAAAATATACATATCTACACCCAGTAATATCTGCAAATATTACTTCACGATTTTTGGCATCAGTGTGACGTGATTTTGTAAAATACTACGCCAACTCTTTTTGTAGCGTCGCATTATCTTCATAGCGAAACGTGAAGACATATATGCCAGTTGACCTCGTTCCTTTACACCGTAGTGTAATAGTTGTGTGTGATGATCTAATTCTTCCATCACCTGCAGACGTCGTTCACGGAGGTAATTTTGCACATCTAATTCCCCACCGCCTGAGGCGAGAGTACGTGCGAGACCAAAACAATCTGTAAATCCCTGCGCATCCCCAACATCAATCGCATCAAAAGCGGCTCCATGTGCGGCGTGAGCAATTTTAATGACACGTCCACCTCCTTCAGACCAATGCGGCATTACAAACAATGGTGTACGATAAACAAGTGCACTACTCTTTGTAAAGTGTTGTTGCATGTGCGTCATCATGGGACGAAACATGGTGTGTGGAATATACCCTGGAACTCCTGCCGTCCAATGTTCAATCACATCATCCCAGAATTGTTTTGTACTGCTAGTCTTGAGTCGTGGGTCTGGAGTGGCATCTGGAATAGTAATCGTTACATTGTAGAAGAGTTTGGTTGCCATCATGGTTGGTCGCACCGTCATCTTTGCTCCTCTTGGGGTAAGGAGTTCCACAATTTCCTGTGAACCCGGTGTAAATCGTTTTTCCAGTTTCCCCAATTCTGGAAGTGGTGGAACGCAAACCTCTGCCCATCGCACGGCCTTCATTCGAGCCTCTGTGTAGGTCTCATCATTTGCCGCCCGTCGACGTAATTCCTCATCTGTGAGGGTTAACTCCGGCACGAGAGCGGGTTTTCGTGCGGTGGTGATCACGCCGAGATAATCCCGGCGGCCGGCCCCCCCGGCGAAGTGGACCCGCACCCCCCCGCGGTCGAGTGGCTCGAGGCCGCCGCGGTCCAATCGGGGGGGCGGCAGACGCGGGCAGGCGTGCGGGCCAACACTGCAGAGAGACAAGAGGGCCCGCTCCAACTTGGGTCGATCACAGCAGAAGAAAGTGGGACTCTCACCCTTCGCACGGAACTCGTTAAGGTCGAGATCACACATATCATTGCCGACGTGATCAAAGGTGAGAAGACGTCCCACAACACTTCCGCTGGGAACGGAGACATTTAATACATCGCCTAATATTTGAGTGAGGGATGGGGTGAGGACAATAGTGCCGCGGTCTAAATCATCGTCACTTTGATGATAGGCAAGATCACAATCGAGACCATGAACACGTAGACACAACGCCATGAAAGGAGCCATCATACCATCACCAATCACAAGATACTTACCAGGAGAGGAAATAGCATCCTCATGACGAATATAAGATGCAACATCACCGCGAGGAGCTCCAAATGATGTGAGACCACCAGAACCCTCTTCCCCTGCAAAAGAACCAACAGAAGAAGAAGAAGAAGTGGGGGAGTGAGAGGATGAGGCTAAAGCGTTGCTGTTGCCAGCTGCACCCAACTCTGCCGTCGTCTCTCCATGAATAGAAGAAGAAGAAGAAGAAGGAGGAGGAAGGGAGGAACAACGTCCTTTGCTACCAGCAGCGAGTGCACGACTACCGAAGAGTGCAAGTCGACGGGCCGCCGCGGAGGATCCCGCTGTTGTGATTGGTTTATCTACTCCCACTACCGCCGCCGCAGTCTTTCCTCTTACATCCGTTACTTTAGTAGATGTTGTTTCAGATGATGATGAAGAAGAGGAAGAAGAAGAAAAATCAGGCCCTGACGCTGATTTAACTCCTTTAGTACCACCGCTATTGCCATCTACACTGTTAGCACCATCACGACTACGGTCAGATGTCATTCGAAAACAAACAAAAAAACCTATTTACCCCTTTTTAACGGTAATAATCTCTCTTATTCCTTATCCTTCCACACACACACACACACAACACTTACTCTCTCTCTTACTCTCTCAAGAATAACGATAGTAACAGAAATAAATAAATAAAGGAAAAAAACAAAAACAACTGACAAGAAAAACACCAATTAAATGAAAAAGAATTAAAAAGAGATAGATATGTTTGATTATGATAATAATAGTAATAATAATAGTAATAATAATAAAGGATAGATTGCGTCTTTCCATTCCCTCAAAAATAAAAATAAAAAATAGGGGACTTCTCTTTTGCTTTGGTTATTTCAAAGTCATACACACACACACACACTTTCTTTCTTTCTCTTTCTCTCAAAAACAAAGGTGTAGTTAACGATAATAAATAAAGGCAGACATATTCTCCGTTATGCCCCCCTACGACCCTAACGGAGGTCCCATGCCGAGTTGCAGTTCATATTCACTTTTCCAATCCTCTAATGGTAACTGTTTCCATGCCTTGCAGAGTGTCTGTACAGATGCGAGAGTATTAAGGTCTTCACCAGGGCAATATGGATTATCAAAGGGAAATTCACCATAATACTTGGCAAAGTTCTGTGATATAGTCCCTAGTAGAGCAACATGATGTTCCACATGATATTCACGTGTTAACACATATCCGTGTGCCTGCCAGTACGTTACTGGTGGTAACTCTTCACGTAATTGATTTAGTTCTTCCTCTTCCTGTTGTTGTTGTTGTTGTTGTTGTTGTATATTTCCCTCTGTGTGGAATATATTACTATCCCCCTTCATAACTTGAGCATCGAAGGCCCATTTCTCCATCATACGTGCGGCAACGTTGATTTTGAAATCACAGGCATTGGTAAAAAGTTCCTCATCAAAGCCAAGTGAGATACGAAGACGATTACGTTTCACCCATGCGGGTTCATTATTGATTTCTTCTGCGGATTGTAAATTGTTGATTGCCCGTCGTGGGGCTCCAAGCGCAATCTGCAGTACTTCACGGTCTAGAAATACAACATCAAGTCTTCGGCGGCGAACCACAACATCACAACTGCCTAAATATCGTTGAAGTCCAACCGCAAACTCCCGCACATACGCACTCTCATTATTGTTCTTGTTCCTCTTTCTATTATTGTTATTGATATTATTATTATTATTCTTATTGTTTGTTTGGTTTGATTTCTCTGCCAAATCAGGATCTGTGGCGGTGGCGTTGACGAGCATATCGCACTGAAAAAGTTTTTTCGCTTTAACAAATGCGGAGATTTCCGCCTCTGTGCCAAGCACTTTACGAATGGCATCATGCACGAGAAGATAATACTTCTTTGGAAGTGGATAAGACATACACTTCTCTTACGGGGCTAATAATACTTTTCTTTTTTTTTTTCTTTGATAATGTTGATAATAAAGATTATATTGGGGAATGTCACTACTATTTGATAATGATTTGACCACACATATCACTCAGTAGTAGCAACTATCACAATATAGGAATTAAATGACACACACATGCACACAAAAGAGAAAGAGAGAGAGAGAGAGAGAAGCAAAAAAAAAAAAAGAAAAGAGGATAAAATATATATACAATCATAATAATAATAAGAGAATTTGAATACATATATAGTAAAAATAAATTAAAGAAAAAAAAAGATAGTATTTTGTTTAAAGTAAAAAAAAAAAACAATAATAATAATAATAATAATAATAATAATAATAACAATGAAAAAAACAAATCCTCTTTTTTCTTCTTTTTTTTTTCCTTCTAACCATTCCCGTTGTTGGTGTCTTCATCCATTGTTATTTTTTTGTTTTCTCATCACGTATGACACCCATCTCTGAAACTGAGAGTGTTCACATTGAATGAAAAGGAAAGGAAAAATAAAAAAATATGGGAAGTTGTGGGATAAAGGCAACAAGCAAAGAAAAAAAGGAAACAAAAAGCTAATCTCATTCACTCATTCTCATCCGTAACTCCCATCCAAAAAAAAAGGAAAGCAATGTAGTTAATCTATTCCAGAATGGTGATCTCTCTCACCTGCATGGATATGCAAAAAAAAAAAGAAAAAAATACATGTATATATATATATATATACACGTATGTATGAATGTATGTGTGTGTGTTTGTGTGTATACACAGAGGCACAAACACCGACATACACCCTCTATTTTTTTTTTCCAATATAATAACTGCAATAACCTCTAAAATGTGTTCATTTCACAAAGGAAAACATATATACTCGAATTCCCATTTTTTTTTTTCTTCGGCTTCTTTCCCCCTTTGCAACTGTTTCTCTTCTCGTTGTTGGTGTTGTTGTTGTCGTTGGTGTTTTCTTTTTCCTTTACCTTCTTTTTTTTTCTTTTTTTTTTAGGCCGTCTTCACACCTCGTACAACTAGGTCATCTAATTCTGGAACACTTTCCAGTAACACCCCGTGTTCGTTTGCAAGAAACAGAATAGAGAAGAAGAAAAAGGCTGGGGAGAGTGTACCCGTTGCCGATATACCTGGAATCTGCGGTAGAATAGGCAAGACCACTTCACTAAAACGAGGCAACTCTTCACTCCCTTCTCCTGCCATATGTGTTTCTTCTTCTTCTTCTTCTTCTTCACGGCCGCGTTTTCGCCTTGCTGGTGTTTGTTGTTGTTGTTGTTGTCGTTGTCCTTCTTCTTCTTCTTGATTTTGTTGTTGTTGTTGTTGAATAGTGGGATTAGACTCCATCGCATTACTCACAGATAACCACATGGCTTGTCGTAGTTTTACAACATCCACCTGTGATGGAAGAGCCGCTTGTGGAGCCTGCAGTACTTTTGCTAACATCAACGGCTCCACATCTGTCCACTCATTTATACTGCCATTATGGTTATTATGATGATTATGACTACTAGGACGACCGTTACTAACCGCCGTTAACGCACCACTCACACGTGCCAATTCCGCTCTTTCAAAACTTGCCAATATCTGTGCTTCTGCTTGACGAATGGGATCCATTGTATCTGCAGGATCACCTCCATCATCGTAATCATCATATCCACCAGCGCCCATGTAATCATCATCATTTTCCGCACCGCCATGAAAGAAGTCCATTGGCATAGTACCAACAGCAGCCATGCCACTACCGTTCCCATCATCTTCGCCCATGTGGCTTTGTGTATCATCTTCTAACTTTGAACCCCATCCATTCCCTTGGTGGCGGTTATTATTATTATTATTATTGTTATTATCATTATTATTATTATTGCCAATAACACCACTTGCTCGTCTGGATGGGGCTGCACTACTGCTATGAAGAGCAAAGGTACGACCGGTAGCAGATTTACGAAGTAAATTCCACTGCGGGAGAGGTGTTGAAAAGGGTTGAAAAAAGGCAGTAACGGTGATAGGGTGTGGTAAATAGGATGGAATGGTTTTTCCAGGTACAGGCGGTTCTGCAAGTAAAAGTCCAGCTTCTTGCGCCTTCGCACGCTGAAAAGCACCTTGTGTATAGGCGAGAACAGCATTAGGACTTCTACCAAGAAGTAACTCTTTACCAAGTTGAGTCATATTTTTCCCAGGAGTTGTACTTTGCTTAAGTGCAGAACTATCCACAACATTCCCACTAAGGAGAAATGAAAGTGAAGATAAGGAAGTATCTGCTGCATCTCCCGTACCAACATTTCCACTAGCCGTAACAGCAGCAGAAGTAGCAGCAAGTTCACCTGGAAGATCAAAGGCGATAGTTTTTTCACGTTTTACACGTTTCGTAGCAGGTGTAGATGTTGTCTGTGATGTTGTACCTGTTTGTGTGAAACGATGTTCTTTATGTAGTCGTAGCAACTCAGAGTTTTTATGTGCTGCACCACCTAAAAGCATATTTGTTGGTGGTTCACTTAATGGAAACCATGAAGTTGGATCTTCTGCCTCTAATGCGAGACGATTCTCTCCAAAGAGACAACCATCCATGGCGTTTAATTCCGCAACACCTGAGACTAGTTGATGTGCTGCTGTGGCAATTCCTTCATGTAATACCTCATTCTGACTGACATCACTATTCTCACCAACACCACCATTTATTCCATTATTACGATGATTATTACTAGTCGTACTAGTAGCATCATCATTATTGGTATTGGTATTCGTGTTGGTGTTCGTATGTTCATCATCGTAGTAGTTATCATCCCCGTAGTCCATACCACCACCATCACCACCCCAGTCATTATCATCATAGTCTGATGGATGGTGTGGAGGAAATAATGGTCCTGCATCCGTAGTCATATCTTGTCGAAGTTGTTGTTGTTGTTGTTGTTGTTGTTGTTGCTCTGGATCCAGTTCTTCTCCTGTGCCCATTAACCCCAAGGTAGTAGTATTGTTCACATCCTCTCCAGCCACATTAGAAGATATATGTGGGAGAAGTAAGAGAGATGGAAGTAAAATAGATGGACGTCCTGCTTCTTCCTCTTCTTCTGGTCTTCTTCTCTCATGATCACTCTGTCTCCCACCACCCTCTTCTGCAGAAACTGGACTTTGACCTGCAGATGCCGCTGGTGTTACCGGTGGTGGGAATGGAGGAAGTTGAATAGGCATATTAATACCATGATCCAATTCTCCCATATCCTCTGTAGCCATAGCCGTTGTTGTAGTTCCTTCTGTTTCGGTATTTTCTTCCAGGTTTATTTCCTGTTTAACAAGACGCCGTGAACCACCGGAGAGACGCAGACGTCGTGCAGAGTATTCACGATCCACTTCACGTGCATAATCTACATCAAGGATAAGATTTCCCGCCTTTCCCAGTGGTGTATTGTGTACCAGTAATCCCTGTGAATTACCTTGATCAAATTTCTCTGTAATGGCTCGAAACTGTGCATTGACGCCTGTGTGAACAAGGGCCACACGTCCCTTACTGTCAAGATTAATCTCGGATGGATCTAATGCAAGTGTACGTGTATTGAGTGCTCGTCTTTGGGCGGCTTTCTTTCGACGTTCCGCTGCCGCAGCCGCAGCCGCAGCCGTAGATCCATTTTCACCAGTTCCATCTTCATTATCACTTCCAGCACCACCACCACCACCGCCATTCTCATCTTCATCTTCATTACGCAATAAACGTCTTACCATTTGATTGGATCGCTGGTATGTACTATCCACACGACTTGTCCATACCTTTGAGCATCCCTCTACAACAGTGGCAACTTTGGCAAAACTGGAGTATTCATCTGTGCTAGTGGCGGCATCCAGTGTACTTTCCACGGCGTGAGTAATGCCTTCTAATAAATTACTTGCATCCTTTGAGACCCATGCGTTCTTACGAGTAATTTTACCTTCAATGGCTTGTAGAAGGGCATCATCCAAGTCCTGTGCGGTGGCGAATCGTGGACGTCGTTGTCGTGATATGGATTGTGTGGGTTGTGGACTGCCTAGTTGAGAGGCAGGGGGGATAAGAACGCCTCTACTCTCATCAAATACGAGAGAAGGTTCTACAGGTAGAAAGTCCGTGTTGTTCTGCTCGCCTCGTCGAAGAAATTGTCGTTGAGGACTCATTTCACTCTTTGTAGTGGATATCAT